TCCTTCCCTCTTCTCCATTGAGAGCAATGTCGATCTTAAGTGTGTGTGTGGGGGGGGGGGGGATGTTTGTCTTTTGACTACATTAGATCTGTTTGTGTGCTTGGATCCTAGTCCACTATCCAAATTTTTAAATTTGAGGGCTCCAAGTAAGTGTTTCCATGCAAATTGCCTACTCAGTATGCTTTGAATTGACAGTCTCTATAGTAATGTGCAACCTAGGAAGGTAGTTGATAGACCGATAATTAAACATATTTTCACCCCTATTCTTGAGCCGTTTGAGAGGTTGACTCTCGGGTTTTAAGCCGATTCCACGTGAGGTTGTGTGTTTATGTCATATTTCAGGACTCGGCATTGGAATCGAGGCGAAGGAACAAGATTCGGGTCGAAAGGAGCAAGTGAGGATTGAAGTGGGCTGGAGGAAGAAAATACCCGGCCATGACCACAAATACCCGGCTGGGTATTATTCTGAGGAGACCGGGGATTTTCCCTTTTGGCGTCTGAGAAACAGGGGGGGGGGTCCCGTTCTGGAAGGCAGAAATCCCCGACCGGGGATTATTGGATGAGACCGGGTATTTTCCCCTGGCCAAAACGTGTGTTTTTACTATACCCGGTCGTGACCCAAAATACCCGACCGGGTATTTCGACCGGGTATCACGACAGGCAGCTGTTTTAAAGGAAAAGAAGGCCAAAGATCAAGGGGGATTCGAGTTTTAGAGAGAGATCGATTCCTAGAGTGAGAAAGTGACGAACAAGAGTTCCCAAGTGCCTTAACTTGATCTTCATCACCATTGGAGGCCAGTTTGAGTTTGGAGAAGTGCCGATCAACGTCCAGGAGCAGGAATCCATCCTTCACAGTATGAATTCCGCGTCTTATTCTGTTTTGCTTCTTTCTCCATGGAGTAGTTCTCCTATTCATCTGGGTATGGAGAACCCTAGATTTGTATGTTAGGTTTGATTGTATGAACCCAAGTACTGATTCTATGATTTGATTATATTCGATTGAGGTTGAATGATTGAATGACTTGAATCCTGATCAAATTCCTGCTGTTTCTGCTTTGACCTAGAATGAGAATATCTGCCTAGGTTGATAGAGCATCCTTGATTGAAGGTAGGGAGTTGGTGACTTTAGTCGAGGAGCCAACTCACTATTCTGTACCGGATTTACTTCCGTAGTGGAGGTTTTGTTTGTTAAGGCCTCAATCTGTTTACTCCGGTGGAGGTTAGTCGCCCGCTAGAGACTCAGATTGAGAGGGTCTGAAGACCTTTATTCGAGACTTCAGGCTGTTTGAGAACCTTCCGCAGTATAACTATCATAGAAACTGAACTTGGTAATTACAATCCGGCTTAACTGCAGTCTAGGGGGAACCATATCCGGGTGACCTCTCTTAACCTGAATACAACCGTTTACTTGCTTTGTTAGTTTGTTAGTTTAGACTTGCATTAAAGTTTCATTGCTAGATAACAAGAATTCACCTAGTAGTCATCAAATCTAGGACCCGGGTTGACATTTAAACCCAAACCCGCTATACTACGCTTTAGGAAGTGGTTACACTTGGCCAATTCCTGGAGTGACAGTAGAAGTGAGTCAAGTTTTTGGCGCCGTTGACGGGGACGGCTAGGTTGTTGAAGAAAAGTGATTTCTGTTAATTTAGCTTATCTTTTCGCTTTGTTTGCTTTGTCCCACTTGTGCCTTCACGGGTTTGCTTGCTTGAGTTTGTGCAGGTAGTGCATGACCCGTAGCCAGTCAGGAGGTTTACTGCCGTTGAATCCAGAGATTGAACGCACCTGTCGCCAACTCAGGAGACAACAGCGAGCTAGAATGGCTACAAAAGAGCGCATAGACGGCCACCTGAGTAGCGATTTTGAAGAAGAGTACGGGATGGACGGAGACCACAATCAACACCAGGGGAATCCTCAGCAGGCTCCCCCGGTGAATCAGGTCCTGGGGAACAATCCCATACCCCAGGATCATGGGGTTCATCATCATCACCCGCCGTCGGGTCCCACCTTGGAGTACTACTACACTCCTCGGATTGCTGACATCCGCCCGGTCATCCTCTACCCGGCTATCCCAGCAAACAACTTCGAGATCAAGCCATGCTGGATTCAGCTCATCACATCCTCTATCCAGTTTCATGGCTTGAAGGATGAGGAGGCCAGGGTGCATCTTTCCCGTTTCCTGCAGCTGACGAACGGATTTAAGCTGAATTGTGTCCCTGATGATGCAATCCGCCTTCATCTCTTCCCCCATTCTTTGGCGGGGAATGCTAAGAGGTGGTTGGAGACCCAGCCCCCATTGTCCATCACCTCTTGGGACGATCTGGCTGACAAATTCGTGCACATGTACTATCCGGCATCGAAGACTACAGAGATCCAGCGGGAGATCACTCACTTCCGCCAAGAGCCAGATGAGTCACTTCGTGATGCTTGGGAGCGGTACATGGGATATTTCTGGCAGTGTCCCCATCATGGCTTCAGTGATGCATTCACAGTGGGGAACTTCTACAGTGCTCTCTCTCCAGACAGCCAGAGGGTGATTGAGTCTCTATGCCCAGGAGGGGATATTCTTACTAAGACTCCACCCGAGCTGAACCAGATGATCAAAACCTTGGCTGCCAGAGATCATTCTTGGGGACAGAGCAGCAGAGGCAGATAGTCCCGGGACCATGGTGTGCACGCCATGGAGACCAGATCCGGAATCGAGCAGCAGGTAGCTGAGCTAGTGCAGACATTGAAGCAGCTTAACAGTCTGATTCCGGGCAGAGGTTTGGCTACACCTCCAGTAGCTCAATGTCAGTGGTGTGAGAGCTCAAATCACCTAGTGGAAGACTGCCAGGCTATGAGGGAGTCTACCACTCCCCAAGAGCAGTTGGACTTCATCGCCAATGCTCGGCGCCTCGACCCGTACAGGAATACATATAATGAGCGGTGGCGCCAGCATCCCAATTTCACTTAGAACAGCAACACCGCTAAGCCACCTGGTTTCCCAATACCAGCTGGTGGCTTTCAGCAGAGGCAACCCTTCCAGGCTCGACAGGGGCCAGCCCCACAGCAGCAGCCCTACCAGCCGAGGCAGGGGCAACCATTCCAACAGCCCCAGCGTCAGTTTGTCGAGCCAGCAGCAGCTCCTGCCCCAGATGACCGGATGACAAAGCTGGAAAATATTCTAGCTTCATTCATGACTAGCACTCAGGCAACTATCACGAGGTTGGACCAGAGCATAGCCTCACTGGAGGCAGTTCAGAGGAACCAAGGTGCCATTTTGCAGGATCTGCAGCAACAGGTGGGTATCTTGGCCCGCCAAAACACTACCAGGGCACCGGGGACTCTGCTTGCCACCACTGTTCCGAATCCTCGTGATCCTCACCAGCATCAACAGCTGGATGCTATTTTTACCATGAGCGGTAAGACCATATCTGCTGATCCTGCCCCGGCCAGGCAGGAGGAACCAATACCTGCTTCAGCACTTCCAGCCGATGATGCAGCAGTGCGGGTGGAGGAGGAAGCCCCTGCTCCCAAGCCACAACCAGTGGTTAAGGAGCATGTACCGCAGCTTCCCTTCCCCACTCGCCTACACAAAGACAAGTTGGAGACTGAGTTTGCCAATTTTATGGCAATGTTGAAGCAGCTCAACATCAGCATACCGTTTGTGGAGGCACTGTCGAAGATGCCCAAGTACGCGAAGTTCATGAAAGATCTCCTTACCAACAAGAAGAAACTTAGGGATCTCTCGACAGTGTTGCTGAGCGAGGAGTGTTCTGCTATCCTGCAGAACAAGCTGCCCGAAAAGCGCAAGGATCCAGGGAGTTTTACTATCCCTCTTACTATTGGCAGCATGCATGTAGGCAAGTCCTTGGCGGACCTAGGCACTAGCATAAATGTCATGCCATATAAGTTGTATAAAAAGCTATACCTAGGTGAACTTAGCCCTACTAGGATGAGCATTCAGCTAGCTGATCGTTCCATTGTGCATCCTAGGGGAATCATAGAGGATCTGCTTGTCAAGGTCGGCGCATTCACATATCCTGTTGATTTTGTTATTCTTGATATACATGAGGATGTGGATGTGCCTTTGATTCAAGGTAGTCCGTTTCTTGCCACCGCCAAGGCACTTATTGATGTGCATGATGGTAAACTGATCCTGCATGCTGGGAATGAGCAGGCTACTTTTTCTGTGACTGAATTTGATCACTGTGCTATGATTGCTGTCACACCTGTGCATGTCATTTCTGATCAGGTACACGAGCCTGTCGTGTATCCTTCTGCACCTCTTATTTTGCAGGACCCTCATATCATTCCTTCGCCGCCACTCCATCCAGTCTCGCCTCCGAACAAAAAGATCAAGGAGGAGTGGCGGCCGAAGCAGCAGGTTGCTAAACCTGCACGGAAGAAGGGTGGAGACCACTATGAGCTGGTCCCACCTCTTTCACCACGACCACCCTGGCCGTCCGGGTACTCACTCGTCTGCATCTTACCGGATGGCCAGGTCGAGCTGACCGATGATTGTGGTCACATCCATCGGGTGCATGGCCACAACCTAAAGCTGTACCTCAAGAGCGACGTGGATCCGCTCTTGGAGGCACCTTTTCCTGCACTTCCCTGAGTATCCACCATGGGCGTCCAGCTAAAAGACGGTAAAGAAGCGCTTGTGGGGAGGCAAACCCACCACGGTTTGCATTTCTTTTTCCCTTTTTCCTGAGTTTTTGTGTCGTCTTGAGTCAGTTGCATGTCTGTGGTGAAGTTTGGTCGTCTGTTTTGCCTCGATTTGGTGCTGTCGTGCAGGAGAGGTCAAAAATTTGGGCGAATGAGTTTTTTGGCCGGAAGGGGGCAAATACCCGGTCGTGGGCCAAAATACCCGACCGGGTATTTTTTGGCTCACGGCCGGGAACCCTTCTGTTTCTCGGGGTGAAAAAAAGGAAAAACCCGACCTGGTCTCAAAAATACCCGACCGGGGATTTTTCCCAAGTCAGGACGCTGCGTTTCAGAACCCCCGATCTTGACCCAAAAAATACCCGACCGGGTATTTTTGGCTCAAGGCCGGGGATTCCATTGCACTTGACACGCCGCGTTTTGAACCCCCGGTCGTGGAATCAAAAATACCCGACCGGGTATTTTGGCTATTTATAGCAAACCCCCGGCCATTTTCTCTCTCTACCCCTCATTTTTTCAATTTTTCCCCCTCTCTCTTCCTCTCCAATCCTCTCCCCTCTCTCTTCTGCGAGCCGCCGACCGCCGCACCTTAGCCGCCGCCCGCCGCCCCATCCGCTGCCGGCCGTTTTCCGACGACTTTCCGGCCAGTTTCCGGCGAGTCTCCCGGGTCGTTTTTTCGCCTCTGTCTCGCGTCCATCACCCGTTTTTTGTGCCTTCGCTATAGTTCTCCTTGCGTTTCCAGGTGTGTTTCTTGTTCACTGTTCTTCCCTGGAAAATCGAACTGTAGATTGTAGGACCGAGAACTATAATTGCTTGCATGAGTTAGAATAGGGTGAGGGATGCTTGGAGTACATGGTTCTATTTATGGTGTATGTGTTGCCCGTGTACTTATTGTGGTTGGTTCTGTGTTTCCTGCCTTGATTCCGGCTGAGTTGTGGGCAACTCAACCGCCCGTGCTTAGAACTGTTAGCCTAGGTGGTCCTTAAGTGTGGGGGAAGCCATGAACCCATGATGTTGGTCCTGACGAGTTTTCTTGGCTCCATCTTTGGTTTGTTGTTTTTGCAGGAACATGTCCCTCGACCATCCATTTGTGCAGGGCCTGAGCCTGCACCCGGAGTACGCGGACCAGTTCCGCGCGGTGATTCGGGGGAAATTGGCGCGCCACCACCATTTGGAGTGGGCAGTGTTCGAGCAGCTCCACTGCCTACAGGAGCTCCGCGCTGCCATCAGCCACCCCGATTGGCGCACCCTGCTGTCTATCGCGGAGTCCACATACACGGAGCTGGTGTGGAAGTTCTACACCATTTTCAAGTATGACAGCAAGGCGCCCCGAGACTCATATGCAGTGACATTCAGGATGGGCGGCTACGCCCGGGAGCTGACCATTGACGGGTTGGCTTATGCCTTGGGGATCGAGTACCACCCGTTCGATCGCCACGAGGTCGAGATCCCGCACCCGACCGATTGGTACCAGGACGAGTTCTACCACCGGATAGCCAGGCTTCCCCATGGGTATGACTACTTCGATCCTGGCCAGACATACGTCCGCACCCTCCAGCCGCAGTGGCACATTCTGAACCTGCTCATCACTCGCTCCATCGTCCCCAACGTCACCGACTCGCATAAGATTCCGAAGCGGGTGTTGTATGCCATGTACTCGATGGGGCAGCCTGAGCACATGCTCCACTTTGGTTCTTTCGTGGCCACCACCTTCTCCCGGTGCCACGGGAAACCCAACCACCTCTATTGTGGTCCCCTGATCACCAGGTTGGCGCGCCATTTCGACATCAGGTTTCAGGGACTCCATGATTCTTCTGCACGGGGCGGCTCTACCCCCCTCGGCCGGGAAGTACTCCACAACGCAATCCTCCTGAAGACTGAGGGCACCCATACCTGGGTAGATGGGCTTTCCATGCCACCTGAGGAGGCTGTGGATCTCGACGATGATGAAGAGGACGCTGACTACTCCGGCGAGGAGGAGGATGAGGATGATGATGATGATGACGGGGCCATGGATGCCGATGAGCCAGAGCCCTCGCTCTCACCACCAGGGGAGCTTCAGTCGCGACGGAGACCAGTGAGAGGTGAGTCCTCCTCCGGTCCTTCTGGTCCGTCGATGGCTTCTGGCCCGTCGATGGACTTCTTCACGGAGCAGTTCTAGCAGATGGGACTCCAGTTCCAGCAGCTCGGTCTTCAGAACCAGCAGCTCATGGACAATCAAGTCCAGTTTTACCAGCAGTATTCGGCCCACTAGGCCGAGTACCAGTCCAGGCTGCAGGTTGTTGACGATCGCCTCGGCCCCTTAGAGACCCATATGGGAGTCACGGGTGCTCTCATCGAGCGGGAGAGAGATCGAGGCCGCCGACTGATGGAGTACTCTGAGCACCTGCTCCTGGCTTGCCACCCCCCCAGAGGAGCACCACTGGACCACCCGGTGGGATCATTCACCACCACCACCACCGCCGGATGATGGAGACGACGACCTCATGAACCAGGTCGACTTCACCGGTCTAGGAGGCGGTTCCTAGTGCCATGTTTTGAGTGTGTTTGTTTTTATCAGTGTGCAAACTGTCTTGTGTTGATTTGGTTTCTTTCTTTTTATGTTGCATTCTGTACTATTGGGCTGACCATTAGACCTGACGTATTGTGTTGAGCTCTTTGGTTTCCTTTTAGCTTTGCTTGTCTTGACTGGTCCTCTATCCAGTCCGCTTCACTCCGACTGGTCCGTTTCCAGTCTCCTGCAGTCCGTGCATACCGGCAACATCGTTCCCCCTTTCCTTCCCTCTTCTCCATTGAGGGCAATGTCGATCTTAAGTTTGGGGGGGATGTTTATCTTGTGACTGCATTAGATCTGTTTGTGTGCTTGGAGCCTAGTCCACTGTCCAAATTTTTAAATTTGAGGGCTCCAAGTACGTGTTCCTTGCAATTGCCTGCTCAGTATGCTTTGAATTGACAGTCTTTATAGTAATATGCAACCTAGGGAGGTAGTGTAGCACTATGGAGGATGTTGATGCATTTAAGAAGTCTCATTGCTTCTTCATATTGTGTTGGTTGATTGAGTGAATTAGTGATCTTAGGACCCTTGAATTGTGTGGTGTTGTGGATTCTCTACCTGTCATGGACTCTTGTATCATGTTTTGAAAATAACAGGTGCTCGGAAATGTGCTTTGAAATAACGTCTCCCGTGCGAATAGGGAGAAAGTGTGTAAGGGGAGACGGGAATTCGTTCCCAATTTCCACCTACTACCTCTAGCCCCCTTGCATGTCTTTCCCCCGCACGAGGCTCCAGACATCCGCTCCTGGCATGGCCGGTAAGAGCCAGGCTCCCGCAAAACCTCTGCTAGGTGGGAGCCCCCATTTTCTGAAAAGCAGGTTGGGACCCTTGAGAAAAAAGAAAAGGAAAAAAAACAGAAAACAAGCAAAACAGGAAGAAAAGGGGTTCCAACCATCCGTAAGAAGAAAATAGAGCACCTTGAAAAATGTGAGTCCATGAACCTTTGTTTTTGAGAATCTCTTCATCCACGATTCATTTGTCCTCTGTTCACTATTTGCCATGATCCGACTCGATACTAGTGCTCTCGCCGAAGAAGCTATGAGATGACTTGTGCGTCGGTTGACCTCGTAAGGTGCTAAATGATCTAGGAAGTCCTCTACCTACGATCTGGGTTGTTTGTTGCTATAGAGGTCTGGATAGTTGCATTGGTTTGAGTTAGGTTTGCTTGGGGACAAGCAAACGGTTAAGTGTGGGGGAGTTTGATAGACCGATAATTACACATATTTTCACCCCTATTCTTGAGCCGTTTGAGAGGTTGACTCTCGGGTTTTAAGCCGATTTCACGCGAGGTTGTGTGTTTATGTCATATTTCAGGACTCAGTGTTGGAATCGAGGCGAAGGAACGAGATTCGGGTCGAAAGGAGCAAGTGAGGATTGAAGTGGGCTGGAGGAAGAAAATACCCGGCCATGACCACAAATACCCGGCCGGGTATTATTCTGAGGAGACCAGGGATTTTCCCTTTTGGCGTCTGAGAAACAGGGGGGGTCCCGGTCTGGAAGGCAGAAATCCCCGACCGGGGATTATTGGATGAGACCGGGTATTTTTCCCCTGGCCAAAACGTGCGTTTTAACTATACCCGGTCGTGACCCAAAATACCCGACCGGGTATTTCGACCGGGTATCGCGACAGGCAGCTGTTTTAAAGGAAAAGAAGGCCAAAGATCAAGGGGGATTCGAGTTTTAGAGAGAGAGATCGATTCCTAGAGTGAGAAAGTGACGAACAAGAGTTCCCAAGTGCCTTAGCTTGATCTTCATCACCATTGGAGGCTAGTTTGAGCTTGGAGAAGTGCCGATCAACGTCCAGGAGCAAGAATCCATCCTTCACAGTATGAATTCCGAGTCTGATTCTGCTTTTGCTTCTTTCTCCATGTAGTAGTTCTCCCATTCATCTGGGTATGGAGAACCCTAGATTTGTATGTTAGGTTTGATTGTATGAACCCAAGTACTGATTCTATGATTTGATTATATTCGTTTGAGGTTTGAATGATTGAATGACTTGAATCCTGATCAAATTCCTGTTGTTTCTACTTTGACCTAGAATGAGAATATCTGCCTAGGTTGATAGAGCATCCTTGATTGAAGGTAGGGAGTTGGTGACTTTAGTCGAGGAGCTAACTCACTATTCTATACCGGATTTACTTCGGTAGTGGAGGTTTTGTTTGTTAAGGCCTCAATCTGTTTACTCCGGTGGAGGTTAGTCACCCGCTAGAGACTGAGATTGAGAGGGTCTGAAGACCTTTAGTCGAGACTTCAGGCTGTTTGAGAACCTTCCGCAGTATAACTATCATAGAAACTGAACTTGGTAATTACAATCCGGCTTAACTGCAGTCTAGGGGGAACCATATCCGGGTGACCTCTCTTAACCTGAATACAACCGTTTACTTGCTTTGTTAGTTTGTTAGTTTAGACTTGCATTAAAGTTTCATTGCTAGATAACAAGAATTCACCGAGTAGTCATCAAATCTAGGACCCGGGTTGACATTTAAAACCAAACCCGCTATACTACGCTTTAGGAAGTGGTTACGCTTGGCCAATTCCGGGAGTGACAGTAGAAGTGAGTCAGTAGTGTAGCACTATGGAGGATGTTGAAGTATAAGATTTTTCCTATCTAGCTCTCTGCTGTGCAAGTTGATTTTGTAAATTAGTAGAGCTAAGACCGTTGAATTCATGTGGTAATGGTGACTGTTTGGATTGTGTTATGGACTCGTGTATCGAACGGGGTGCTAATGTGAAAAATGAAAAGCAGTTGGTCCTCCATGTCGAAATCATTAAATCTTAAACATGGGGTAAGCCCAACGTGTGTGGCACCGTTCATTGCACAAAATCGGGTTTTGGAAGAGATTTTAGTGATCCTTAGTGGGGTACTCCTACAAGGTGAAGCTAAGTTGTCTCTAGTACAAGTAAAACTTCCACCCGTTGAACCGTTTGCCTACTTGAGGATGTGTTTTTAAGGGCACGGATAGAGCTTCCGACCCCCCTTAATTTCATTAACCCTCCACACGAATTGAGGAAAAGGAGTTAAAAGAAGTACTCTGGCGAGCACCAGATGTACAAAAATTGCTCTTGATCGACTAATAAGGGTCGACTGTGCAAAAGACTGCAGTTGGAACCCCCGCTAAGTGAATGAGAAAAAAAAAGTAAAATGAAAGTGAAAAAGGGATTCCAACGGTGAAATGAAGTGAAAGAGCACCCCAGTACAACGAGTCCTTGGTTGTGAATGGTGTGAGTCCCTTTATCCATGAACTGACCGTTTTACTTCTACTTCTTCTCATGATCCTGGCTTGAGTCTAGTACTCGCATTGAGAGAGATAGGGGACATCTTAGAAGACCAGTTGACCTCGTAAGCTGCTTTATGATCTAGAAAGTCTTCTACCGACGATCCGGTTTGTTTGTTTCTATAGAGTCTGGAGAGTTGCATTGGTTTGAGTCAGGTTTGCTTGGGGACAAGCAAACAGATAAGTGTGGGGGGATTTGATGACTCGATATTTGCACATGTTTTCCCCTTTGTTTCTTGACTGTTTGAGCTTTAATTTTCGCGTCTTTGGCCTATTTTACGCTAGGTTGTGTTCCTTTGTCACATTTCAGGTCCTAGCACATAAAGTGAATCATAGGCGCAAGTTTCAAGTCAATCAGCGATCAATTGGCGATTAGGGAGAAGAAACTCGGGCATGACATGAAGAAGAATGGATTTCTACCTCACTTTATGGACAAATAATCATTCAAGCTTGTCATGAAAAGAAAGAGGACGAGACTACGAGCTTCTGGGATCAAACGGCGACTTATTCGGAGTCCGGATGAGGGAGAAACGAAGCATTGAATATAGGGGAACAAGTTCGGCAGTAAAAACACGGGCTGGCCTAAACCAAAACACGGCCGTGTACACAAAAAGGCACGCCAGTGTTTTTTTGCCAAGAGCTGAACTGAAGGAAAAGCAAAACACGGGCTGGCCTAAAGCAAACATGGCCGTGTCCATATTTAGGCACGACCGTGTTTTGGCCGACGCGGGAGTGTTTTTAACATGGGGCAAAACCAAAGCATGGCCTTTTAGGAAGATTTGAGCCAAAGGAGAAGGGGTTCCGAGTTTTAGAGAGCCTGAGCGATTCCTAGAGAGAGAAGTGACGAACCAGAGTCCCCAAGTGCCCTAGCTTGATCTTCATCACCATTGGAGCCCTTGGAGAATATCCGATTGAGCGCCAGATGCAGATTTTCATCCTTCACGGTATGGTTTCCGCATCTGAGCTAGATTTTCCATCTCTCTCTATGGAGTACTTTTCTTATTCATCTGGGTATGGAGAACCCTAGATTCGTATGTTAGGTCTGATTGTATGAACCCAAGTACAGATTCTATGATTTGATTATATTCAGTTGAGGTTTGATTTATTGAATGGCATGAATCCTGATTAAATTCCTGTTGTTTCTGCTCTAACCTAGAAAGAGAATATCTGCCTAGGTTGATAGAGCATCCTTAATTGAAGGCAGTGAATTGGCGACTTTATTCGAGGAGCCAATTCACTATTTTGTACCGAATTTACTTCGGTATTGGGTTTTGGTTCGTTAGGGCCTCAATCTGTTTACTCCGGTGGAGGTTATCGCCCGCTGGGGACTCAGATTGAGAGGGTCTGGAGACCTTTAGTTGAGACTTTAGACTGTTGAAGAACCTCCCGCAGTATAACTATCATTAAAACTGAACTTGGTAAATTACAATCCGGCTTAACTGCAGTCTAGGGGGAACCATATCCGGGTGACCTCTCTCGATTTAAAAACACCTTCTTGGTTGCTTTATTTGTTTGAACTTGCACTAAAGTTTCACCGCTAAATAATAAGAATTCGCTGAGTAGTCATCACATCTAGGACCCGGGTTGACATTAAAACCCAAACCCGCTATACTACGCTTTAGGAAGTGGTTACACTTGGCCATTTTCTAGAGTGACAGTAGGAGCGAGTCATTCCCTCATGGTGATGGTCCCTTTCAAGTCCTCGCTCGCATCAAAACAATACCTACAAGATTGATCAAGCTTATTTTGCCCAGAACTTCATCAAAATGGAGGCCAACTTATTCGTGGGATGAGAAGTGATGCTCATAGGCATTGGGGCTGCTTCAGGCCAATTCCCAGGCCATGACAGTGAAAAACCCAGTCGGGTAACTGATGAGGAGACCGAGGAATGAGTCCATGGATTTTCCCCAGTCTTGAAGGCCAAATCCCCGACCGGGAAATTTAGAAGGGAGGCTGTGTTTTTCACCCTGACTGCTGCCGATGAGTTTTACTTGTCCTTTGCGGATTATGAGACTTTTACACCCAAACTCGGGTTTCTTTGTTATTTTTGGCCCAAAAACTTTGTAGCCTATATAAGGCGTTGAACAAATTCTTTTAGAGGGTAATCAACAATTTTATTCAAAAATACAAACCCTAGAATTGGTTGTTCAAACACCAACTTCTCTTCTTCTTCTTTCTTGATTGTGGAATTGATTCAGTAAGAGGAAGTCGGCATTTTCTGCTAGCTCAACACCCTAACCGAATAGTCCTTCAAATACCTTGCCCTCTTCACGAATCGTCGATTTGGTTTGGGTTTTAATCCGTGTTTGTGATCGTTGTGTTGTAATCGATCT